TATTTTTTTATGTTGTAGAAGCCAGCCAAAATCATGACACAATTATACATATTTTGTGATTATTAGAGTTCTCAGGCAGAGAAAAAATAATGTGGTTTTTCGTTTTATATTTAGTTTATATGGTTCAATAGAGTTGTTCATTTTATGTTTAATTTACATTTAGTTATGGTTTAACTCTTTCACTACTGCAAGCCACTGGTAGCAGCATTCGAGTATGCTTTACAATTTATCTTGTTTAGTACATAAATTTCCATTCTAGACACATAGAATTTGTTTGTTTTGAAGATTTAATTAATTCTCTACATAATCAAGAAAAAATAAGAGCTATAATTGTGTAATTATAAAAAAAATTATCACAAAGTTAAAAAATCTTGAATAATCCGTCATAAAAAAAACTTTAAATTTAATTATAAAATAAAACAGTGTTAACACTGAAAAATTACCTTGTAGAAGTGTTAAGTATTTAGTTAAGTAATTACCAAAGTATTTTGAAGAAAAATTATTTTTATTCATTAAATGAGGTTTGTTTTGGACTTAATGTTTTTACAAAAACAATAGTTTTAAGCACTTTGCATTTCTTATTGTTTAATGAAGCGTGTTAAAAACTTTGTTATTTTCAAATTTTAATTAATTGTTAATGTTATGCTATTCAAACGTTATTCAAAAAAATATGCGGTTGCTACAAAAAGATTTTTGTTAAAAGATTTTTGTTTGGCTGGTAGCAAACAATTTAATGCGATTCTTTGTTTTTATATTTATATTATAACTATTTCTTGTATATTTTAGAACAAATATTTGTTTTAACTTTAATTTAGTTTGATTTGAACGGTTATTAGTAAAATAAGTCGTTTAATATTTATTTTCTACTTAGTTCAGTTTATATGTTTTATTCAAGTCACTCGTTAAAAAATAATACGACATCTTGAAAAAAAAAAATTATACGATGATGTCATATACCGAAACTGTTATGAGTTAACATGCATGGAATAAATTATCAAGTCTGCAGATTGCGGCTAAAATTATACAGACTCCGAGAACCAAAAAAAATGGAGACGGCGAGCTTCAACTAAAACTTGAATTTTAAATTTAATGGTGTGCATTCATTATAAAGTTTTAATCAAAAAAATTTAGCCTAAATGTTTTTTTAAACATTTTCTTTAATATGAACACAACTTGTCTTGGCAGTTGGGGATCCCTTTAAGTCGCATTACCAGCTTAAATGACTTTGTTGCAAATATCAATAGGAATTAATATTCTGTGCCACACAACTGACATTATAATGCAAGTAAAGATACTGATATAAGAAATAGCTCCACGAATCCCTTTTCTAGTTTTTGGAGTAAGATTTAACTTTACTCCTGGAAATTGAGCTACAAATGGTTTAACACTCTCTATTCGATCTGACAACCTTTTGCAAAATATGCTATGAAGGGAACAACCTATACACTTAGATAGTATTTTTAACCTTTTCGGGCTACAACTGAATAAGGGGAATATCGTTTACATAGTTCCAAAGTAGGTTATGGTTTCTGAAATACATTCAGCAGTTTCTTTACCACATAAGTTAAGTGTGTAGCAGTTATAAGGAGAAAACATAGCAGTAAAACACTGTTTTTTTTATTATGGCTAGAATCTACAATTATTACTTTGTAGAATGTCTTTCTTCCTAAACATGCTGCTTAATAAGATCAGAAAATCCTGCCATAAACTCATTTCTGAAACCATTTAAGAGGTAATGTACATATTTTTTTGTGACTTAAATTTTAGTTGATGATTAAATAAAATTATCAATACTGTCTTGCATTGAAAAATGCTGTTCTAATTTATGCCATTTTAGATTAATAAAAAAGTAATGGGCATTCTCTACGCCTATTACTTTTTTCATGATCTGGAATCCTATTAAATAACTTCCGCCAATTAGAACTCCCTTGCCAGCCTTTAGATTTGGAAGCAATACTTTGCTTGGGACAGGCATTGTTCCAAAATAACCGGCAAGGAAAACAATATAAAGAAGCCTTATGCTTGCTCCATACAAGACAGTCTTGGGTACGCTGTTCTGCATTAATATTTCTAAACATTAATATACCTTCTGGAAATTTTTGATTATTATCATCTTTTAGCAATTTTAAAGAAAAGTCATTATGACCTCTTGTAATAAAATTATTTATTTCTGATTGAGAAAAATGTTCTGCTGTGATGAATCCAATGTCAAGTATTTTACTTGATTTGTGAAGTGAATTATTACTTAATTTAAAATTTTCTGTAGCACCAGGTTCAGGATATGAATCAGTAAGTCAATCATATTTGTAAAAGGAAATCAACAAAGTAAGAAATTGTTGGAAAAAAAAGTTTTTAAAAGATTGAGATGAATAATTTAATATTGCGTATTAAATCGATAAATCATTGTTAATAACATTATTTAAAATCTAAGATGTTTAAGAAATATATAAACTAAAGAAAAGAAGTAAAAATTTATTTTGTTTCATTCATTTTACGTTCT